ACGATTTCTTCGATTTCATAATCGCGCAATAAAATCGTCTGCGATTTTTTTGCGTAACTTGTCAGTGAACTACGGCTATGTGTAGTAAATTCTGCTCCCTCTGAAAGCACGTGATGATGATTTCCTGCTGATTACAGAACCGGCTTTACTATCAAAATGCACATGACAATCGGGGGGAAAAACTTAATTAATTTATTTATTTTCCATTAAACAGTGGTTTACTGAACAAATTGCTCTTTCTTTAAGTAAACTCTGTTATAATTACAATTGTCTTAGGGCATAAAAATCTACCTAGGCTTATGCTCTAAACAAGCAACACTCAACTTAAAAAAATTTATGCAAACATGTAAATTGCACATAATGCTGTGTTTCATAACAGATTTATTTAAACATTAAATAATTAAGACATCACTAACAGGTAAAGTAAAATGGAATGAGTATATAGTCTAATATTTTGTGAAATGCTCTTCTTCTTAGGGCATAAAAATCTACCTAGGCTTATGCTCTAAACAAGCAACACTCAACTTAAAAAAATTTATGCAAACATGTAAATTGCACATAATGCTGTGTTTCATAACAGATTTATTTAAACATTAAATAATTAAGACATCACTAACAGGTAAAGTAAAATGGAATGAGTATATAGTCTAATATTTTGTGAAATGCTCTTCTCTAGACTTCATTTATAGCGCACTAACGAGCTGTGGACACTGATGATGACTGAGGTAAAGGAAATGCTATGTGATATTTTGTTTTCAAGCTGTTTTATTGCCATTTTCCATAGTTGAAACATTGTTTGAGCGATTAAAGGAGGCATGAGATGTTCATTCATGTTTATTTCACTTTAAAACTAGTAGTAAAGAGGATGAGATGATCGCGCTGCCGTTTGAACTGAGGCGTGATAGCTCGAATGTGAGTAAGAGACATTAAAACACCATACAAGAGAGAGAGAACAGATAGAGGAGGGAGAGTGAGAGGGAGAGGGAAAGAAAGGAGGGGGAATAAGAGAGAGGGGAAAAAAAGGAGGGGTGAGGCATTCTCAAGACAGAGAGTGTTTTCTAACACACGTACAAATACGTGTACCGTTACACCCCTAATACATATGTATATATATATTTAAATACACTCAAAATAAATTTTTTTCGTTTGTTTTTTCCCAACAATCTTTCAAACAAGTGAACCCTGCTCGATGGCCCAGGGCCAACATGAAAGATGCATGGGACAGTTAACGAAATTGTGCGTTGTCACAAATTTAAACATTCAAGACACTAAACCATAGGTCTTCAACCCTGTTCCTGGGGACCCACTGTCCTGCAGAGTTCAGCTCTACCTACCCTAATCAAACACACCTGAACCAGATAATCAAGGTCTTCAGGATCACTTGTAAAGAGACAGGCCAGGTGTGCTGAAGCAGGTTGGAAATAAACTTTGCAGGACGGTGGGTCCCCAGGAGCAGGGTTGAAGACCTATGCACTAAACCATTCAAATGACAAGATGTGAAAGTGAACGCCGTTCTCTAAACCGCGTATTAGTTAGTTAGGCTAGAAATTCTTTCATTGGTATTGAAATTGAATTTTGAATTCAATTTCAATTTTTTTTTGTGGTGGGCCAGTGACAGTTTTGGCAGGCAAGTGAAAATCTGAGCCTATGAACAGACAGGGCCAATAGAAGAAATATTCCTTACATATACAAGACGACAAAGACGCATTGAAGTTCTTACGGCTGTTTTTGTGTTTTTCTGTAGGTTGTTGGTTTACCCCCCGCCGCCTGCTAAAGGAGGAATCTCAGTAACCAATGAGGACCTTCACTGTCTGAACGACGGAGAGTTCCTCAACGACGTCATCATCGACTTCTACTTAAAGTCATTATCTTTATTTCAATCAATAATAATTGTTGTGACCAAATACAGTGCTTTTTTTTTTTCTTTTAAATATGTAGACCTCATGAAAGGTTTTTTGTATGTGGGCATAAATTTGACTATCTGATAAACGTGTGCTACTAGATATCTGTTTTTGGAGAAGTTGAAGAAGGAAGACGCTGTCCGCAGTCATGTGTTTAGCTCATTCTTCTATAAGAGACTCAATCAGAGAGAGCGGAGAAACGCAGTCGACACGTCCAACTTACCGTGAGCTCACGTCATTTACTCAAACACTCGCATTTCCTTGGAGCTTAGTTACTGTGCTGGTGTTTAGTACTAAGATTGATTACATATGTGACGTTTTGATGTGTTGCAGCATACAGAAGAGGAAACACAACAGAGTGAAGACATGGACACGTCACGTGGATCTCTTCCAGAAAGACTTCATCTTTGTGCCCATCAATGAGTCGTAAGGCACTGTTTGTTTAGTTTAAAATCTTCAGTTGCTTTTTATTGATTTATTTGGGTTATTTCATACTAACATGTTAAATTGTCCTGCTTCAGCTGCCTAAGTGTCATATTTTTTGACTTCTAATCTGATGACCTGTCTTTCTGTGTCTGTCTAGTGCACACTGGTATCTCGCCATAATCTGTTTTCCGGGTCTGGAGAAGGCTCATGTTGAGCCAAACCCACTGTACCAGCCTCAAACTCAAGCCCATAGCACTGCTGTCTCCTCCAGCCCAGCCGCCGATGGAGGTTCGGATGAGCTGGACGACGTCAGATCTGCGGCTGATGTGAACAGACAGCCGCAGTACACAGGTGAGCACATGCAAGCCTACACGAGTGACCGGGAACAGACTGCCGCTGTGTCACTGCTTGACTTCTGTTTGGTGTTGATTGCAGATGGTTTACACAGAATAATCGAGTGTTATGGAACAGATGACTCCCATCCCTCTGATGACCAAAGCTCATGTCAGGTAAGTCACCTCAGTTTGGCTGATCTGTGGTTTCAAAACTGACTTTGTAATGTTGCCGTCAAAATGAGTGTATATTGCAGGGATGTATAGATTTATTCGTTTTCTCTGTGCAATGTTACAATGCTGTTCTTTTGAATTTTTTATTTATCAAGGAATCCTAAAAGAAAATGACCAGCGTTTCCACAAAGCACAACTGTTAGTTTGTTAGTGTTATATTGATGATAATAAGAAGCAATTCTTGAGCAACATATCAGAATGATTTCTGAAGGATCATGTGATGCTAAAATTGAGACTTTCAAAAAAATCATATTGACCCCATATTGAACTTTTAAATGGTACAGTACGTACAGTGTAAATATAAAGGTTGCACATGCAAACTGCTGGTGACAAGGCACAATGAAACTATTTTGGGTAATAGAAATTGTAATGAAGCAGTTTAGTTTTTAACATTGTGTTCATTTGTTCAAGAGTTCCTTCTTATTTACATAAAAGGTTATGAGGTCTTTCAAAACTAACTAAAAGTAGTCAGATTACATTAATTTTGTGATGTTTAGATTAGGTTACTGATTACAGATAAGTTTTACTGGAATACATAATTCAATTTTTTAAGAAACAGGCTTACTTTCATAACGGAAAAATACAATTTTATAATTATCTACAACAATGTGTGTGTATTGTGTATATTAGATTTTGACAAGTAATGTGGCGTGCCATGGGTGTGTTTGGATGACGTTTGGGAGTTTTGTCTGTGTCTGTCTCACATCATATGAACATGTTGTTATCTGTTTTCAGGACGAGTGTAGTGAAGATGACAGTTTGGTTGATGACTGTGGGAGCTTTGACAAAGCAGAGTGGACGTCCAAACCCACCATCTGCAAACAGTGAGCGCAGATATTTCTCACATAACTTTGCATAGTTGATACATTATATCAAATATGGCGATTCAATTTGATATTTTTAGAACGTAGAGTGAATCAGTTACATCAATTTAGATGAACAGGTCAAAAAAATGAACTATGTTTAACATTTTAATTGCATTCGTTAGCCTTTTTTACCCAACAAACGTTACACCTGTTTACACTTTGAAAGCTACAGAAGAGTTTGAACTACTATATTATAAACAGTGATGGAAAACGGAAACCCAAACCAGGGTTGTGTACCATTTAGAGTTTAATTATGAATTTTCAATTCCTGAATTTAAAATAAATCAGCTTTCATATATCTGTTGAGAAGTTGTGACATGTATATTTTTTCAGCACTCACTGTCATTGTATTAAAATCCTCAGGCCTTGTATTCTGATCATGGACTCGCTGCGTGGACCAACCCGCTCGACTGTGGTAAAAACGTTACGAGAGTAAGTTACCACTTCCACACAAACTAGCGAAAATAAAACCTTTAAATGGATGTGTGATGTTCTGATCACAGATGTTTTGCATATAGTTGTTTTTCTGTAGGTATAATGGAGAATCATGGAGTCTTAACTTAATAAGTTCTCACTTATGTTGGTATCAGTATTAGTGCGAGTTTGTCCTGGTGTTTGTGCAGGTATCTAGAGGTGGAGTGGGAGGTGAAGAAAGGCTCCCAGAGGAGTTTTGGGAAGGATATGATGAAGGGCTCGAGTCCTCGTGTGCCACAGCAGGATAACTTCAGTGACTGTGGAGTTTATGTGCTGCAGTATGTGGAGAGCTTCTTCGAGGTGAGAGGACACATGGGAACTGTGTATCTAATGGTGGACTGGACATCATTGGTTCCCCCACAATAAAGTCACAGAGATTAAAAAAAAAAAACCCTTTCCTGGCAATGCATGATTTTGTTCACTCACACTCCCAGAGCTTCCTCATATTCTGTGCTTTCATTCACACTTCCCAGAAAGCTTTGTAAAGATGAATGACATTGCAATGTGATATTTTCACATTAAATCTAATAGGGAATTTTGGTCACACTTTGGGGACCAATTCTGTCTGTTAACTATCTATTAACTATGACTTTTGCCTCAATAAACTCCTAATTTGCTGCTTATTAATAGTTAGTAAGGTAGTTGTTAAGTTTAGGTATGGGTCGGATTAAAGGATCTAAAATATGGTCATGCGGAATAAGGCATTAATATGTGCTTTATAAGAACTAATAAACAGCCAATATGCTAGTAATATGCATGTTAATAAGCAACTAGATAATAGTGAGAACTGGTCCCTAAACTAAAGTGTTAACAGAATTGTCATACAACTGTGACTTTCGCCAGCTGTCAAGTGCCGCTTTCTTGGGCTGTGGAAAAAAGAAAAAAAAGAATGACAAGCTTGTTTTTTGCGAAAACATTTATTTATTTTTGTTTTTTGCAAGAATTGTTTTAATTGATCTCAGCATCTCACTTTTATTATCATTCTCTGTGATTTTAATAAAGCTAATCTCACACGCGAGCTGTCTAAATACAGATAGCTCATCACATGCCCCATCAAGGGACAGCAATATACTGGACCATTGCTACACAGTTTTAAAGGATGCATACCACTCTGTCCCCTGAGCGGCTCTGGGGCTCTCTGATCACTTTGGTCCTTCTTCTGATCACTGTTTGGTCCATCTTCTACCAGCCTACAAGCAGAAACTTAAATCTGCTTAGCCTGTAGTAAGAACTGTAAAGAGATGGACTAATGAAGCAGAGCGGGATTTTTAAGCCTGCTCCGACTGCACCGATTGGGGTGTTTTTGAGGCTGCAGTCACAGATCTGCATGAGCTCACTGACACCGTGACATCCTACATCAGTTTCTGTGAGGACGTGTGTTCCCACCAGAACTTGTATAACATTTAACAACGACAAACCGTGGTTCAGTGCAAAACTCAAAACAGCTTCGCCAGGCCAAAGAGGATGCCTACAGGGGTGGGGACAAAGCCTTGTACAAACAGGCCAAATACACACTTAATACGGAGAAAGAGTAGCTAAGAGAAGCTACTCTGAAAAGCTGAAAAACAGTTTTCAAGCAACGACCCTACATTAGTGTGGAAAGGGTCTGAAAGCCATCACCAGCTACAGGACCCCATCCCCCAGCACTGAGGAGAATCAACTTTTAGCCGATGGTTTGAATGAGTTTTACTGCAATGTACTTAAAGTGCTTTATTTTCGCACACTAATTTTGTACTTAATATACTAAAACTTATTCTTTAGTACTTCTTAAGGTAATCTTAAGAACATCTAAGTGTACTCAACTGTGCTATTTTGGGACACCATGAATATGAACTAAAAATGTATTTTAAAAAATGTATTTAGGTACCACTTGAACCCATCTTGTGGGTGGTAACTAATTTTTTTTTAATACAGAGATAGTATGTTAATAGCATATTTTAGTTCATATACATGGTGTCTCAAAATAGCACCCTATGGGCGATTCTTGTCTGTATTTGCAGTACAAGCCGCGGTTCAGCTGTGCGTGACAAACGCTGCCAGTGTAGAAGCACAATGGGTGCGTGCTGCTCCCGCTGTGCATGCACACAGCTTCTGCACTGCCTCCGCTCTGCTTGCAGATCCAGTGTGAAACCGGCGTAAGGCGCGAATTCTACACAGCATTTTGCGCCCTTAAGGGCAACAGGCCAAAAAAAAGATGCTTTTGTATTGTTTATTTGCAGGCACAAGTGTTCGAACATTTTAGCGACTGCCCCACAAACAACTTTACTTACAGTAGAACCGTAATGACGATACTACCGTTTAAAAAATACAGTGGCACCGCCAGTATTTTGGAGCCTTAGTATCGCGACTAAAGTAGTACCAGTAAACCGTGCAACCGTAGACTGCACTACATCCTCCAACATCTGGACAAACCAGGGACTTGTGCAAGGATTTTGTTTGTGGACTTCAGCTCCGCTTTTAACACCATCATCCCGGATACCCTTCTGAATAAACTGACCCAGCTCTCTGTACCCACCTCCATCTGTCAGTGGATCACCAGCTTCCTGACAGACAGTGAGGCTGGGAAAACTCACATCCAACACCCGCACCATCAGCACTGGTGCTCCTCAGGGGTGTGTGCTCTCCCCACTGCTCTTCTTCCTCTACACAAATGACTGCACCTCTAAAGATCCCGCTGTCAAGCTCCTGATGTTTGCGGACGACACTTGCACTGTCAGGTGCTTTGACGGATGCGTGTGCCGTTTCATGCGTTTGAGACCGGTTTTCCTCGGCACATAACTTATATTTTATGGTTGTATCATCATCTGTAAATGTTAGAAAGTCACACAATTATTTCCATTATTTCATTCCAACAGAAATCATCTACAGATACAAAATAATTGATAGTTGCACCCCTACAATGACTTGTGTCTGCAAAAAAGTTGCTTCAGAAGAAGAGAATTACTATTGCATGATAATAAAAGATTATAAAAACAGACATTTACATTGAAGCCATTTAGTGACCTTTATATCCAAATAGAACTGTTGCGTTTAGACTTTGTAACTAATGCAATAATTGATGCTGATTATTTATTCTGTTTATTTTTTTTCTTTCAGAGTCCTCTTCCAAGCTTTCATCTCCCGATGAATTTATTGGATTGGTTTCCCCAGCAACGGATGAAAACCAAGCGGGACGAGATCAAGGAGCTCATTCTGAAGCTTCAGACTCAGCAGCAGCTCAATCTGGAGAGTTCTGGACAGACAGATGGCTGCCACAGCCCCTGTGAGGATACCTTAGAGTCAGCTGATCTCATCCCTCCAATCAGCTCCTGACCTCCGCCCACGCTGCTACGCTTTCACCATCACATGACTTAGAAACACTAAAAGCCAATCAGGGCCTTGTGTGATTGTATGCTGCTGGACAACTCTGCCGTTATTTCTTATGACCTTCTTATAGTTTTGATGATATGAAATTTGAAAAGAAGAGTGGTTTGTTTTTTTATTTGTATCGAATGCATTGTGTACATAAGCTAGGCTTCTTTTACTTTGCCGTTTTTTGCTGCCTTTTCAGTTTTACTTCTCATTTATTGTTCAGTTTTGCACCATCTGTAAAATAAAAGTTTGTGTTCATCTTGATTATTTACTCTAATGTGCCTAGAGGGTTATAAATACAGTACTGTTCAGTGTTCTGTTTGGATTTCATGCCTCTGAAGGAAATGAAAGCATTTTTTGTAAAATTAGTATCCAAGCAAACTTTGTGTCCACAACAAAATAGAAATCATTTTTCAATGTTCTGCTACTTGCCATTCAGGAGTGCACATTTGCCTTGGTACAGTCTAATACAACAATATGAAGTGTCAAAAACGAGCCTTTGCTTCTTTATGAGTATCTTGTTTTCATATTTGAATTGATTCAAAACATTTGGAGTCTCGAGGCACTTACACATGATTCGTGTTTTAATTCCATAAAGCATAAACTCAAGAAGGCATGGTAATGCAAAGCTCAAAGATCAGTCAGATGTAATTTTGACCGTTTGCTGTAGACTTTTAGAAGTGTAGCCTGTGGAGCTCAAACCGTTGCATGATGTGTTGAAGCCCTGACTCGAGTCATGTGAAACGGTTTATAGGCATCACTTCTTTTACTAAGCATTTGTGTCCATATAGTCATTGTCTGGAACACACAAAGGATGTGCTGGTTGACATCCTTATGAATGAATGATAATGTTCTGACTGTGATGCCATCAAAACATATCTGTTCGAGTCAAGGAGGTCGATAGTATTTCTGGAGAAAACCAATCTTGGTAGCTCATGGACGCTCACCAGTCTAAATGTTGTCCACTATGCTTTTCATAATACACATTGTTTCAAAATAGCTTTACAGAAAATCATGATGTTAATGTTTATAATATCTTATATATCAAACTTCATGTAAAGAGCTGAATGATAATATAGTTACATTTTGCTACAAAATAAATTGGCCAAGTTATTTTTATGTATCGCTTTTTGCAATACAGACCGCTTCAGAGCAGCTTTAATGTAGTAAATCCAAAACAGCGTCTGTGTTGCAAAATTGCGTATTCACGACCCTGATAGCACACGTACATCTCAGAGACATCTATTTGACGTCTGCATTTACTTCTGCAAGACTATATTTTTTTACAAATACAGTCAAAGATGAAAAATACTCTCGTCATTCAAATTACAATTCAAGTCAAGACAATATCTTTCTTAAATCTTCTTATGACCATAAATAACTGTGAAACATCATTTCAGTCACCAATAAAATAATTGTTTCTAAACCAATATTCAAAAATTATTGTTTTTATATTTTATATCTTTATTATTCCAAATCAAAACATCTGTGGAGATTTAGATATGCGTATTGGGGTAGTCTAAGTCTACTGATTACATTGTTATTTTTACAATAACAATGTAATCAGTATTCTGTTTATTAAAGCCAAGTATGAATCTCATCAAGTTAGTGTTTTTGAGGCATTCTATAATTAGGGGTACATGTCATGTCCACGGACTCTATTATCAGTTTGACTAATTTTTCAATAACGTTTCACTTCAAACAATGATCGGTTTTATATCAGGGGACATTTCTAATTAATTTAATACAAAAATCCAACAGATATCCATCTTTTATCTTGCAAAAATGGCATATTCTATACTGGAATTTGCTGTTTTTGTGCTTTCCGATTTGGTAAATGTGAGGTTTTGCTCTTCAGATTAGCTCTAAAATACATGTTTCTGTACATATTTCTTATAAATATTTGTCCAAAATAATCATTAAATTATGAGAAAGGTGTTTTAAAAAATATTTTGCTCATGCATTTACATTAAATCATCCATTTTGTGTATGTCCGAGAAATCAGTGTCAACTGTGTTACTCCCTATAAAACCCCCTATAAATCAGCAATGGTTTGTTCCAAAGTCACATGTCCAACATCACATGATGTATTTTCCTTTTTTGGAGGGAAATTTGAAGACAGTGTGGAAAGTCATAACTTCTCCTCTTCAATATTTTATCTAGATTATTGTCTGCACATAGAGTAGATTAATTGACCCGTCAACTGTTATCAACATGTTTTGGTGAACTTGCGTCACATGTTATATTTATAAATATGTAGAGAAAGAATATAAAAACAAAATTTTTTTACAAATACAGTCAAAGATGAAAAATACTCTCGTCATTCAAATTACAATTCAAGTCAAGACAATATCTTTCTTAAATCTTCTTATGACCATAAATAACTGTGAAACATCATTTCAGTCACCAATAAAATAATTGTTTCTAAACCAATATTCAAAAATTATTGTTTTTATATTTTATATCTTTATTATTCCAAATCAAAACATCTGTGGAGATTTAGATATGCGTATTGGGGTAGTCTAAGTCTACTGATTACATTGTTATTTTTACAATAACAATGTAATCAGTATTCTGTTTATTAAAGCCAAGTATGAATCTCATCAAGTTAGTGTTTTTGAGGCATTCTATAATTAGGGGTACATGTCATGTCCACGGACTCTATTATCAGTTTGACTAATTTTTCAATAACGTTTCACTTCAAACAATGATCGGTTTTATATCAGGGGACATTTCTAATTAATTTAATACAAAAATCCAACAGATATCCATCTTTTATCTTGCAAAAATGGCATATTCTATACTGGAATTTGCTGTTTTTGTGCTTTCCGATTTGGTAAATGTGAGGTTTTGCTCTTCAGATTAGCTCTAAAATACATGTTTCTGTATATATTTCTTATAAATATTTGTCCAAAATAAGCATTAAATTATGAGAAAGGTGTTTTAAAAAATATTTTGCTCATGCATTTACATTAAATCATCCATTTTGTGTATGTCCGAGAAATC